AAAAAAAAAAAAACAAAAAACCACCCAAACCAAAAAAAACCCCAAAAACAACAAAAAAACCCAAAACTCTCAGCTTTGTGCTGCACAAAAGAGAGTTAGAGATGCAGTGCAAGGTCTAAAAGAGACTTTAAATGATAACATAATCCAGAACCACCAGGCAGCTAATCAGTTAGATCAACACTGCATTCTGCCTATTGCTGTTAACCTTCAAAATTATTCATAAGCCGTATCAGACTGAAACTGGAACAACTTGGGAGTTTTTCTCAAGTTTGGACAAACGTCTGGCAGCTTAGCAGTGTCAAAATTTCATTAGTAAATAATATGACTTTGTAAGAACATTAAGGTCAGGCTTTTTTTACACGCAGTCGTATCCAGAAATACAGTAAGAAAATCTATGGCAAATAAGAGACTTGACCTCTCTTTGCTCTACCCATGCCACAAATCAAAAGCAAAAAAAAATCTCTGAAAATGTAAGAACTAATTAGAAGACTGACTTCATACTTGATTTTCAATTTGAATAAGCTCTTGAAGTTCTTTAACCTAGAGGAATACTATCTCATATCTCATTTCTCATTTCTATGTGAAAGCTACCCATGTACTGCACACATATAATGAATGTTTTACTTCCACTTTACATAGGGAATTGACAAGACTGAATTAATTCTTCTGTTGTATGTATTTTTATTTCAAATTCCCATCTAAAGTCAAACTTCCCCATGGCAATAAATATTCACATGTCTGTAAACCTAATTTGAAATTTTTCTGTGGAGACAGCTCTTCTATATGTTGATTTTTGAGGTATTGGGATTTTTTCAACAAATGAAATTATTTGAGAAARCAATGACAAAATATTGATTTAATTGGCACAAACTTCATATATATGAAGAAAAATAGATACTGAAGGAAAAATATTTAAACATATTTATCTTTGTTGTATAGTTTGGGTAAGTCTCTGATAAGTGAAAAATTATTTTAGGATTAGCTGTTCACCTAAGAAACTACCTTCTACATTGCATAGAGATGCTGCTTATTAACAATACAGAAATAGATTGATCATTTTAAGCTGCACATTTTCTAGGTCAGGAAAAGTAAGAAATAAGGTGAAAATATAAAGTAGAACTTATTTTACCGGAGCCAAAGATATCCTGCATTTATATTGTGTTGATATTTGCTAGATACRGAAGTAAAATTCACCAGTTTCTATTATACAAACTAATTGGGTTTTTTCACAAAGGTATTCTATTCACTTATATTTTGTAATATTTCTAAAAAAAAATTTAAAAGCCAACTTTAAATCTGAAAGTGAGGTTTTCTAATATTAAAAAGAAATAAAATTCAATCCCTCCTTCATTTTGATACTGGCCACTTATTCCAATAACTAAAAATATTTAGACTATTTTAGGGCATTCAGAAGATTCAGCAAAAAATCATTCACATATTTTGCATATATATCTCACCATTAGCAATACTGCTGAGAACACTTACATAAATCTTTATCTTTGAAAAGACCTGGAGTTATCATGAAACTGAAAATTATATTTCCATGTGCTCCGGTTCTAGGCAGGGGAAATATCCTTCTGCTGGATACATTAGCCCCTATAATTGTGTCATTCACACCAAAACTTGCCAAAATATAGGGTCCTTCACCAAGACCTAATGAAAGAAAAATCAAAGAGAAAAATACTCACCTCATAACATAAAAAACTTAAGTCCTGATTTGCCACTTGGTTCTACTTGTAGTGAAAACATGCATAACTCTGTCCTTGACTTTCACCCTGGCAGGCAGCTAAGCACCACACACCTGGTCACTCACCCCACACATCACAAAGGAATCAGAGAGGAATAACTCAAAAAAACTCATCAACCATCAACCTACCACTGTCATGATGTACCATTAAAACCATGTCCTCAAACCTTTTTGAGTAAGGCAAAATTCCCTATTACAAAGCAATTGTGGAAAGCCAGCTACACCTAGCAAGATCTAAATGCTACTAGTATATTGGGCCAAATAGGAAGAGAAGAAAATCATGTCTAAAATGATGCTTGTCACAGCATGCAAGTCACTGAAAAAGATACATCAAAAGCCAGATTCATGTCATTGCATTTAGTCAAGTTTCCATTTTCAATATCTGTTGCTCCCTACAAAGCAAGTGCACAGTATCCAAATAATAGAGGTGATGATGCAGGAATTATTCCTGTTAAATGAATACCACTCTCATTCTAAGGTACTGTTCCTTTTACAGTACTTTACTTATGAGACTCAAGCATAAGATTCCATAGCCTATCAAATGTCCAAGTATTGTGTGTCCCAGTTCTGAAATTCACAGTACAAACACAAGGTAACATCTTCTAGAACTTCTCCCTGACTGCCTGCCCTATGTTGTAGGATGATGGATCAATCCACCACCACACTGAACATTATGAAGTTATTAATGGACACATTGGACACATTAGGGATTGCTAGGATCATTCAACACAGCTGGGCCACTAACCTTCACTCATTAAAAATAAAAGCAATGTCAAAACTACACACATTAAGTAAAAAAAATTATTTGAGTTTTTAAAACAGGACTATCAAATACTACATACCTTGGTTGTAATATTCACAGTCATAAGCTAAAAGAAAAAAGAAACAAGCACAACATTATTATTATTATTATTATTATTATTATTATTACTACTACTATAAAGTAACAAGAGAATTCATGCATATCTGCGTCCTAAAAATGTAAAGCTCACTTTCAGCAGATGAAGTTTTATGTCCCACAAAATATTTCAGTCAGTGATTTTATTTCCTCAGACTTTCATTCAGTGACAGCAGACCTGAAGTGGAAATTATTCTAAAGCCAAGAATCCTTCTTCTTGTCAATGAAAAGAAGAATGGACTGCATCTCTTTGCAGCCCTACATAAAAACTGGACAAACACCAGTGCCTTTCCAACAGTCTCTGCCCTAACACACCCTGAGCACAGCCAGCCCTTTTCAGTAACACAGCAAATTTGGGTGTATAAATATGATACAGCTAACACAGAGACAGCTTGAGAGATGAGAAGTACATTAATTATCCACCTACTCCTGTCATATTTGTATAATTGGGCAGAAAAAAAAGCCAAAGATGCCTCCAAGATGAGCTCTGGTACATGGTCAGCCCAGGTACATACCACAGAGCAATGGGGATCGCCAGTGAATCGCTACTCCTTGCTGGCAGCACTTGTGGGCATAAGCTGCAATGCTGGTACACAAACACTCGCAGTCCCCACCAAGATTGCAGTTACATGTATCTGTGTGACAATTTTTGATRAAAGAAGTCACATCAATCTAGGGGGGGAAGAAAAGAAGAAATGTAAATGACTTAATTGCATGAGCTGTACAAATGCCTGGTGCAGTGTTTTCAGCAGTTTTACTTCTGGATTGACTGAAAGAACTAAACACAAAGATAAGGTATTTTCCAAAGTTTGGGCATATTCCTACACAAAACGTGCACTTCAAATGATCAGCTTATATCTAAGTTACAGGTTAAAAGTAAATTCCAATCAGTGACTACTAACAAACATGCCTGTGCCAGCAGTTGCTGTTCATCGATTTTAAAGAATTATTGAAGCTGGCAGTTGTTTTTATAAGGCAAATACTACCACCTGTAGTTACCCTGTCAGGTTCACATTCAGAGCTGTGACTGATTACCAAGTTATTGAAGTAATCATTTGTAGAGGGGGTTTTTCCCGGGGAAAGAAAGCTTAATACCACTGGTGACATTGTGGAGAAAAAAAGTATCTCTGCACTTACCAAGATTTTAATATAACTTGTCCACAAAACTTCATTAGATCAGAAACACACATTCTCACCAAAATCCTATCACATTATTTCATGGGTTTACATGATACACTACTTCTTGAATTTAAATCATCTTTTTGTAATGTTGAGCAACGTTTCCAAAACAGTGTTTTTACTCAAGACATGCATTTCTTCAGTTTAGTCTCTGGTCTAGCTCAGTTGTAAAGCACTCGAATGACACACGTCAGATTATAGAAATACCATCACAGTAACAAAGCAGCACTTATCTAACACCAAGACAGCTTCTCATCTGGCAGTTGCTAGAAGCTGGCAGGGACTGGATTGAGTGCAGACAAGTTATTGTGATTTCATTCTTTTACTTGTTTTGAAAACAGGGATACCACTGGGGACRTGGGGGACACAGATGAGAATTAGCTCCATTGAAAATGGCAGTAGTAGCTTTGTAGGATTCACCAAACAGCAAACTGGCTCCAAAGACCTCAACCTTTCTCTTGCACCTACAGAACAATAAGTTTCCCCGGGTCAGCAACATCATGCTCCTGTGACAAACTGCGATACTTGGGCCCAGTTCCTGCAGAGTTCAGGAATTACAAGGAAGACCGTTTTTTCTGCAAGTGTTGAGGTTCCTCAGACCCTGCTATTATTTATGTCAGTGTTTATCTGGGCAACTGCAATCCATCAGTTCCTGCCAACCAGATATGAAGATTTTGTCTCCCTAAAAACTGGGATATTGCAGCCAGAGTTGAACTCCAATGCTACCTGTCCCACAGACAGGAGCTTGTCTATATGCAGGATCTTCCACCACACACATAGCAGGAGCAGCAATAGGCACATTTGAAACCCACATCTGTGTTTTCTGTTCTTTCCATGCCCCTGGTGTGAGTCTCTGCTTGGGTTTTTTCTTGGCACCCATTTCCCTACCCAGTTAGCTGCACATGCCCACAATGGGAGGTCACTTTACATTGCATGTCAGGAACTGTATTTTCACATGCTGTTAAATATGTTCAAAATACACATGAAAGATGTTTGTTTTACTGGCTGTCCCTACAAGATAGATATGTATATGTGTAAATACTTGACTACTAATTAAATGACATGGTCTGCACCTGGCATTGATTTTTAACATAATTATGCTTAATTTTTGGCATAATATTTGCAAATTCTAATCACAACATGGATAATAYATAGAAAATGAATTTTCAAGTGAAAATATAATTCTTTTTAAGTTATAATAATATGATTTCTTTTAAACTCTCAAAAGTTCCATTTTTATTTATTACTTGCCACTTTGAAAATATACTCATCACTTTGCTCTCAGGCACATGCACAAAAAATTCTCTACATGGTAACTTAAGTCAACACTAATAAATCTCTTGGGTTAAGCTACTGCAACCTCCTACACAGGCAAATTCCTAACCATGTTGATATCCAGATTCAGTCCTGAAAGTCAGGAGGTTCAGCTGGGACATCTARTGAGCTCATTTAGTATTAACAGTCATGAAGAAAGTAAGAGACAGAGACGAAATGTTCTTGCTTGCACAGGTGTAAAGAAACACCTAAATACCATTGGGAGGCTAATGTCAGAAACAGGGGAAAATGTAAAAATCTTGTCTTGCATTGATAATGGATGGATTAAAATGGAATAAAAGATTATCACACAAACTACTGCTGTCCCCATCTTGTCTAGACTGAACTGAAGAACATTCTTGTAACAAAAGTCCCAGGCTCAGGGAGGTGTTGGGAAAACAAGGACACCGAACCTCAGAGTTTTCATAAAACGAGATGATAAGCTGCCAAACAATTAAAAATACAAATACCTTTGAAGCTGAAATCGTGCTCTCTTATTTCTTTCTGTATAGAGTAGGACACTTGACAAAATAAAACCATTTGAGCTAAGCTGTAGGTGCATTACACATACACTTATTTTAGAATCCTTCAATTTATACAAAAGCCCTAAAAATTCAGCTACCTGTACACATAAAAATCATACATAAAAACTGAAGATAACAGAACCTTGACTATTCAGTCTACTATCTCACAACTCCGTTACTGCTATTATGTTTGGATTCCAGTCTTGGAAGGAACAAAGAGCTCTGCACAAATATAGCCCACCCACACAGAGATACTTGCAGGGCTTTACCCTATATCCTTGGCATTCAGAGGGAGAGTAATGGCAAGAAGAAATTAATTACTGGAACTTTATTATTTTCATGACAGCAAATCTTGTCTATTTAATAAACTTACCACGTTGCGACAAGGTGCAAATAGATCACTGTATAAAATTGAGCATTCCTTTTTGGCATAAGGGAACTTGCTCTGATGGACTTCACATGGTCTCAGTGTTTCATTTGGGCTCTTGCACTTGAAAACAAGCAAAACCACCACAAATATTCAATAATTAGTTGTGTTTATTGCAGACTCAGGTACACCATAGTATCATACAATTCAATAATTACATAATCAGAAAACAAAAAAGTTTAGATACTATCTTCTTCATTTTTWTCTTTCCCTAATTTGTTGTTGTAATTGAAAACATTTGCACAAAAAAAGAATCTTTGTGTTTTGTTCTAAAGCACTAAAATGTTCCTGCTGACCACTCAGTGCATAAAGACAAAATGTTTTCTTTGTGACACATAATAATCATTACCAGAGCAACCAACTGTAACGTCACAAACAAATACATGGTCCAAATCCACCCTGGGTGRCTTTGCACTGACTTTAAATGGAGTTTCACCACTGGCTTCAGCCCTGTAAGTTCAAATAAAGAAGCAGTGGTAGGAAGGGAACAACTCATTAAAAAAAAATAGAGTCAAAGATCATCATGATAATTCAAAAATGGCTGAGGTACAACTACATCACTTATAAGATCTCTTCAAAAAGAGCAAGAAAAGAACAGAAAAATATAGCAAAGGGACACTCAGGTCAGAGAAGTTCATCCAAAACCACACTGTCTTGGTGCAGCAGGGGAGGGTGGGTGTAATGCACCAGGAGGGTGTAACGATGAATCTGTAGGCATCATCGGGGTGTCCCACAGCAGCCTTAGCTGCACTGCAGTCACCCTCCTCTGCTGCCTTCCTGTGCAGCTGCCCAGACACCACTGTGAGGGTATGTGCTGCCACTCCATGGAAGGAGAAGCTCTGGAAGCATCTCATGCTTCACAGTGCCAATGTAAGCACGTTTCCCAGCAGTACTTTCTCAAAAAATCCCTAAAGTCTACTGTGGGGGCAGATGAAGCGTCAAGTCTCTCTGAGCCCGCCAGCAAGGTCAAGGTGGAACTCAGATCCTGAGTGCTCTGGCAGACACAGAGATCAAGAGATTACAGAGACTTTATTTATATATATGTATGTGTATATGTATATTGCTGCATAAGCAAAAGTTAAAACATCCTACAAGTTAGTGTGCTATGCAAACACTATGCACCTTTTTAAGGGAACCACTAAACTGATATATTGAAAAAGAAAAATTCTTACACTTCATACAAAATATTTACAGATTTGTTTATGTATGACCTTCTAGATGAGCATTGTAACTCTAGACATTTTCCTCGCTTGCTTACAAAATTTAAACATTTTATGTAGCATAAAATAGATCCAGAGATATTGAGGCAGAGAAGCCTCAAAACCTTTATCCAAAGCATTCTTTAATGAGTTGAGAGATGTTTGGTCAATTTTCTGCTGTGTCAAGGAGAGAACAGATTAAAAACTGGTCCTGACAGTCATCCAAAGGGAGTACGTTACAACTGCTAATTTTTCAGGAGGTCTTCAAGGCTATAAAGCTTTACATCTTTGCAGTACAAATCAGTAAAATACTTATTCTCCTGTGTTATAAATCAGAGTTGCAGTCATCCACCTTCTACAGTCTCCTGGTCCCTTTTCCTCAGAAATCAAGATTCCATACTGGATTGTGCCTGTTGCTGTTTTGAGCATTTTTTGCCCATCCCTTCACCTCCTCTGCTTTTTCAATTTACTCTGTTTACAAAGCGCAACTAAAATAAATAATTTTATTTTCAGTGTTCAGAAAGAAACTCTTTTCCAGACCTCTTTTTTTCCAGCTTTCAGATTCTGTTTACTTTCAGTATCCTGATGCTTCCAGCCTCAGAGAAATTACAATTGTTTTTAAAATTGAGATGAATCAAAAACATCAGAAGTAGCATACCTAACTTTGTAGAACACTGAAATCTGGACAACTTTGTCTTACATAGGGGAAAACATACCTTTTCCAAAAGAGATTGCTTGGTTTTATTTAAATGTGGTATCTGTTTGCTATGACATAAGACATTAACACATTTCACATCTACAGACACAAAAATTAAAACGTCCTCTTATAGTGTGAACATAAGTTTGGAAAATACCTRTACATCATATGCTTATGACAAGCTAATTTACAATTTAAAATTATCATCCTTTTTCTCTAAATTTTTATTGGACACGAGACTTACCTGTCCTAACACCCAGCTGTCTCCAAACACCTGTGCATTTCTCACCTCCATATTGTTTGATGTAGTCAGATCATTTGAAGTATATTTGTCAAAATTTCCACACAAGCCTGCCAATTTGCCCTGAAAGAGAGGAAGCATTTATTTTTTCATGAACTGACAGTCAATAATCGGCACAAATCACACACAAGGAATATAAATTTTTTTAAGTGAAAAAGGTGAACGCAAATCTAACTTATACTTTGAAAATATCTGGCACTCTGCTCTGCCTGCAGTTCCATATTGCAAATACCTTTTAACAAAAATCAGTGCTTCTTTTCTTGTTTTCCAGAATCTGCTCTTACTGTCTGCCTGTGAAAATGGACCGGAACCTAGTAAATTTTTTTTCCAATAGCTTAGTAGTGCTTCCAGTCCAAAAGTCAAAAGTTCAGGTGATTTACCTCATGATTGTGAAGCCTGACTAGTTGTTGTCATTAAAACTTGCTGCCTCTAATTTTAGCTCACAATAGCTAGAACATTTGTAATTGCAATTATAAAAGAGACAGCTGCCCAATTATGTTGGGCATGTGCTGCTGATGGAAAAACTATGTATACATGCATATACATAGATATATAGGAAAATAGACATTTCTGCTCAACAGTAAAAAGGTGTTGTGCCTCACACTAACGATTTCTATTTTCTTAAAGGTCTATTGCAGACATTATCTTACTGAACTGGTACCTCTGGAAGAAACAGTCATTGGAAACATAAAGAACTGGAAGTATTTGTGTTCCTGAATGCAACCTGTAGAGCTCAGCTCCCTGCTAGCTTACTCAAAAACAGAAGAAATTTTTTTCTCTGTATGTATTAATGGCTGATAAATCAACTTGTACATGATGTAAGTATTTTACGGCTGTTTGGACAGAAGCCTATAATAATTTTTCTTTAAAACCACATTAGATTGTCATTATAGCATTGATTTACACTTGTAAAAATCTGATACTGTATTCTAGCCTAGCATGCTTTCTTCTCTTTTGCTGAAAGACCCCCATCCTAATACCCATGTGCTCATGTTTGAAACAAAGCAGAGATGTATTTCTGAATTGGACAGTTATGGTTATTCTGCCAGCACCCAAAGACTGAGTTGCAGTGATACTAAGGTAGATGATGATATATGAATGGAAAAGAGAAGAGGAACTGGCAAAAGAAGGAGCCTTGAATTCTTCTTTGCATCATGACTGAATCCTGTCACAATATACCAATTAGGTTTAAATGTAAATTTTCGTCTAGATCCTTTCCTGTATTTTGTCTTTTTTAAATAAACCCAAGATGTGACTCCATCTTTCATCTCAGAAGCCTCTATTACACCCCAGGTTGCAGTTTCATCATCGGTCTAATGCAATATGTGCTACTAACTTGCCATTCTCTATGTCACTAGAAATGGAAGTTTCTTTCTCATTGGCTTTAGCAATCATGAAAATATGCAGTGAAGTGGGCAACTCAAAATTCCCTTCCAGCCCCCAAAGAATCTTTGAGTCAGAGCTGAATCACTGTGTATCTCCCAGGCTGCAGTGTATCAAGCAACAGAGTAAACATATATGCGGGATCCACTCCTCTTCAGAAGTTGCATTATCCATCTCTTCTCACCTGGGAAATGCTAGTAGCTGAACACCATGATAAACAGCTATATCACTGGGAAAGCTAGTATTGAAGAAAAGACAATCACAATTATTCAATAAATGATCAGCAAAACAGAGAATCTACAGAAATCTCAGTTTATATTTTGGCTCACCTTCCATCGAGGTCCAACTTTAATGTGCATCATTGTCTTCTTATCCCAGAGAATTGTAATGTCCTGTTCTGGAAAGTGTATCACAGTATAATATCCAGCCTTCCAGAGYTGATAGTTAGATTTGTTTTCCTGTGCCCCTAGGGTCTTCTGACATAAATAAATATTTATTAAGATCTACTAAAGTAATGTTACCATGGTATACAACCAGAAGACAGCAAAGTGTATACTGAATAATACTTTAGCATAAAGCTGAGTCAATAATGTTAGTAGAACTGTTGTTTAATACTTTGATATTTTGTCTTTTAAATCATTCAAGTTTGCTTCATACTTTGGCTTTCCTTTCAAAACCAAGTTGAAAGAAACTCATGAATGCCAGTATGTTTCAACTCCTTGAGACTTTTGAGCAATCATCTTTGCAGAAAAAAATAGAACTTGGGGGGAAAAAAAAAAAAGAAATAAAAAGTGTCCTGGGACCTTCTGCTTTATCCAGGCCTAAGAACTTGTACTATATTAACTCAGACTGAGAGACGCTTTCCAAAAACATGCTCCTTTAGAACTGTAAATTTGCAGTGCTTATCTTAAAGGCAACCCAAAAAGGAAAGAAAGTAACTAACCTGCTTCTCAGAAGGTTCGCTAAAATAAATCTCAGTGTCTCCAACAGTGATGAAAACATTCTTCGAGCAAACAATATCATTGTCAAAGCACTTTTTGTTCTGAGCAATTATAGATATGTTTGAGTTATCTGTGCTCTGCAACATTAAGAATAAATCATTTAACTTACATATTCAATTGCATTTCTTCCATGCAGATTCATTCGATACTTACCATCACAAAAAAAAAAGGTGAATAATTTATAATTTACACACATTTGAAACTAAATGTAAGTAAGTTACCACACCAAGAAATGCATTTTTAAATTCAAAACTGAACCCACAAACTTTGAAGTTAAACAGAAGGAGCCATTATGCTCAGCTGTGATTCCTCTTCCTGAAGACTTCACAAACTCAGAAGAACTCAGGCTACCCATAAAATAAGATTCTGGTTTAGGCTTTTTAAATATGCTTATACTTGGAATCCAATATTTATGGCAAAGTGTGGTTGTCAAAACTGAGACATGCTATAAAAAAGAGCTTTATTTTTTAAACCAAGGTACATGAGATCAAGCTGTTTTCATATTTTTAAGACCAAGAAAGGTCCCATCTGTCAGTAGCAGATAAAACAGTTTGTGCCACCACCCATCAAAATTCACAAAACCATGAGTCATACTCTATGTTTTTGAAGGGGGCAAAGGTTTCTGCCAATATTTTTGTTTGTGGGGTGGGGTTATTATAACATTTAGAAGATTTGAATACTTTGGGTTTTTTTTTTGTTTACTGGTGTTTTAGCAGTTAAAACTGAAATTTATTGCCTTCCCAATCCCATACTTTTTGGCTCTACACTCTGCACATTAATTTTACACTCTAGGCACAAAAAATCACCTTTGCACTCAGATCAACATGTCTGTTTATTCATCTACAGCTTCTGTGGTTCTTCTGTATCCTGAGGGAAACACACTTGCCCCTTGTAATTCCCCGTGCTAAGAGCAATATTAGAACAAAGGAGACCAACTGTATTTTCAAAAACAAAGTTGAGTTATTCCTATTACTTCCTATTTTAATTTTCTTTCTAGTTCATTTCTGTACCAATCCTTACAAATCAAGAGGCAGCCATAACTATAAAAATTACTTGAGAAAGTTAACTTTGTAGTATTAATATGAGCCAATAACATTGTTTCTGAATCTGGTTCRATTTTTGATCAAATTCAGTCTGACAGTCATCACAAACCTGAGACAGATATGAAATAAAGATCTTAGGAGTGACAAGTAGCACCCACTGACTTATCTAATCTTATATGGGATGCTTTAGTAGTGCTGTAAAGGAAAAGGTTCTCTTCTTGCTAAAACTCTTCTTGCTGCCACCCTCCTCTAGATATAGTATCTGAGACTATGATTAGATGAAACTAATTGCAGGTGCTAATGGGCATGGTGTGCAAGATGGAAATGGCGCATCTCCCAGCATCCCCCCAGTCCTGGGATCTACTCTTGGCTCCCAGCAATGCTCTTGAAGAGCTCCACTTGGCCATAACAGGAAGGATCCCTCGCCTTGGTTTGTGCCCACTGCATCTCTCCCCAGAACTTTGCTCCCACCTGTGGTCAATGTAGCAATGCCTTGCTCAGTGTACCCCTGAAGGGTGCTGGCTATTTACTCCTAACTACTCCTTTCCTGTCTCACATTTGTACCCTTATTTATTGTGCTCATCAGAATTCAAGAATTTTTTTTAAAAATCAGTAATTTTTCCTCAGCAGTGAGAAACATTGCATACAGAGAATACAGGAAGCAGTTAGTGTATTTTTTCTTAAAACAAGTCATGATGGCGAAACTCTTTAACAAACATTTTCAGTCTAAAAGAAATAACAAACTCAGCCCCAGATGCTGGAAAGTGTAGAGGTGTTTTTTCACCACACAGAGGAGGTGCTACAGTTTTGCTGCCCTCAGTCTAGCGTGGCCCACAAGCCACAGGATGCTGCTACTGGGCATAGAAAACACTACAGCAAGCAAATGCTTGTGCATGCAATGAACACAAGGTGTGGGAGACTGCCTGCAAGCTCTGTGTTACCCTAATGCTAGGGTGAAGAAACAGATGGTATTTGTCAGCAGTTAGCTTGGAAGACAACAGTTACAGTGGGTAAAATTTTTCACTAGCTGCCTGGTGGTAAAGGGGGCGTAGGAAATCAGCTCTTCATGATATAGCAAGGGAACTCAGCTTAAAAGTATCAAAAACTTTAAGGTAAAGCAAAGTTCTTCTGTTCCATTCTGTTGTAAAGTTTTAGGTTGCACTCAAACTAAATTGGTCACTACCTTATTAGGAAATACACTGTTTTAATTAAGCCCTGCTTGCTGCTGGAGTCAGTACAACAATTATTCCCCTCCAAGTTTCAGATAACAGCCCAGAGTATATTTTGATATATTGGACATGATGTGGTAAATTAAAAAGGAGACAATCTCATTAGTTTGGTAGATAGGATGCAAGCTGATGCATTCTGTGTTGGCCAACTGAAAAGAAACAAAGGGAGCTACCTCCCCGCCACGACTCAGTGCAGAGAAGGACTTTGCTTGCCGTCTCTGGTTCTATTTGACACTTAGGACATTGTGGACTCTTTTCATTGCACAGTCCATTCCTCTTCAGTTAGTTTAGTGTCAGCAAAAGGGGACACTCTGACTTAATAAGAAAGCAATGTCTTCACTGTAAGAAAAGTGATGAAGATCTTGATTTTAAATAAGGATAGTTAAATCAGGCTAATTTTCCCACAGTAAAAACACACCTTTTTTGGCAATGAAGACAAGCCCTTGAAGCAGCAGTGGGTAGCTTTATTAGCTATGATAATTGAAGCTGCTGTCTATGCCTTCTGACAGTCCAGGCCAATCCCTTCAGCTGAACAGCATCAACATACTCAAGTCAGAAGTTTTTGTGTATGGTTGGGATTTGAGCCAAGGGCACAAGCTGAGTTATATTTTAAGTTAACTCTGCAGTAGAGAGAAGCCTGGAGCCAGGAAGTGTTTTGCTGACCAAAGCCAGAACAGGGAGTCCTGAAGACATGTGAAGTACTTCCTTACTTGTAGGACTGCATGATGGTGTTAAATTACCAGAAATTATGCAGGATGGAAATGCAGAGAGATTGTGGCAGTAGTTCAGTACAGTTATGAGTAAAGCAGACATTTTAGGAAGAAGGGCTTTGCAGTAAATCCTGAATCTTCTGTGCTTTCTCTTTTTCTAATTAAATCTTAGACCTAAACCCAAACATAAAAATATCATTACAGATTACATGTCTCTTATGGCTCTAAGATTTCACAAAATTATTTGCTTTGCATACATATTCTTGCCATTCTCTCCATATACCCCAATAGAAAGCTTTCCCATCCATACAGTACTGGACAAATTCTTGAATGTCAGCTTCTATCACAATTTTCAAATTATTTTGTACCTGCTGCACATGCAGTCTCTTCTTTCAACAAAGAAGAAATAAAGTGCAGTTGAAACTTAGCACTTAACTATTGCCAATGCAAAAGAAAGGACTATTTAGATAAAGTGAGGGTCACCTTCTGATGTTTACATAAGACAGTGAGGTCTTAGGCAAATCTTGAGAGTTCTTAAGGAATGTGATAGTATAAATGATAGTGATCGAGTTCCATCTGTCTAATCTGCACTAAATCCACACAAATATGAAAACAAGCTTTTGTCACTACTGCTAGAAGAAATGCCTGAGTAGATACTAGGAGCAGGTCTAATGAGTAATAAGGTGGGGTTTTTTTTGGTTGGGTTTTTTTTTTGTTTCTGCACAGCCTCTTTCCAAGGCAGAGTCACTCTTTACCTTTTTAGGTAAAACGCACCCAACAGGGGATGTACTACAGTTCATCATGTGAAACCTACTTACGTTGAGAGAAACTAGAAATAAAATGGTTTTCCCACTGCAAGAGGATCTTCCCACGTAAATTACCATATCCAGCCTGTTCCAACTTAGTATCAGTTTCTTTATGATAACATGGAGTTGCCAAGCAACAGAAAAGACAGAGTCACAGCTCTGGGCAGTCAGTCAAAATCTCACTGTCAGTCCCACTTCTCAGGACATTCTTTTTCTAGACTTCACTGCAGTTTTTTTCCATATTTCTTCCTAGTCAAAAAAGCAAAGCACTGCTTTCCTTTTTAATTCTTTTTTTTTTTTTTTTTTTTTTTTTTTTTTTTTTTTTTTTTTTTTTTTTTTTTTTTTTTTTTTTTTTTTTTTAGCAGTTCTTGGGAATGCTAGAGTTTATTTTTGTCAGAAATTTTCTATTTCAATATCCTCTCAGAAATTTTCTATCCCTTTTAACCAATAACAGCACTATGCAGTGTGCTTGCATAGTTAAAATGCAGCCTGGGAGAAGGCAATTTAAAAGCGGCTGTGTTTATTTCTTTCAAAGTTTCATAGAAATCTCTCTAAGTGTTCAGTGTCCTTCTTTTCCATTCTTAATACCCTTTTCTTGTTTACCCATTATTTTTTGTTTGTTCCTATAACACGCTAAATTGCAAACTAGCATGGCCATAAAGGCATATAGGAACATCCTGGGAAGAACACAGAGATAGATTAGTCCTATCTCCCTTCGCCTTTAATGATGCCTTAGATATTTTCATATATAGCCACAAAAAGAAGTGCAAAAAAGCTCTAAAAATACTGAAAAAGATATGCAGTAGTTTAAAAAGCAGAATTTGCTTTCTCCTTCCTATATATTTTCGGAGAGCTTCCTTAGCTCTGTTCAGACCTAACATTTCAGGAGATTTTATGGAAAGTCAGAATTAGTTTGGTTGCAGTTTATTGGGCTCTAAGTTTTTTTCTGAAGGAATTTAACATTTGAAACTATTACTTCCAGTGAGCTTGATCTAGGAGAAATGGTTCAGCTTAGCCCAGATTTAGTCAGCATTTAGGCATAAATATATAAGTGATTTTGGAGAGCAGATAAATGCCTTAGCACTTAATATGTTCTCGCTTTATTAGTTTCCCGTGCCATTTTATCATGGATTTCATCTCCAGATAATCAGTGTAAACACATAAATTATGCAAAACTCATTCCAATTTACAGTAAGAAGCATCTCTTATTGAAAGCCTTCTTTYGTTTTGCTGGTGCACTAATTTCTTCAAATTAGTACCTTTTCAAAATTATATATACTTTTGACATA